GCTACGGTCTCTAAATAAAAGTCAATATGTATTGTGTAATTCTACTCAAAGAAAAACTCTTGGGATTAGATAGCTTAGAATGTAGCTTTGAAAGATGGTGAATATCCTGGAGAAAAGGATGTAACCAAAATGAGACAAGCCATACTTAACAAGAGAAAAGACTTGACTAAGTGAAAATGTATATTGTAAAATATATATAATAAATAATAATATTTAATAGAAACTAATTCATAATTTAATTATTATACATCTATTCTTTATAGTTCATAATTTATATTGTATTGTTAATTACAACAATAAATTTAGAAAAGCTTATTATAAATTTTAATATAATCTAATTATCAAGATGAATTCAATTTTATTTAAATATAATTTGTATAGTAAGACATGTGGTAATTCATAATATAATATATTAAAACTTGATTTGAATCAAATTTATACTAATTATCATTTTTATATTCATTTTTAATAGAGTCTTATTATTTTTAAATTTTACATTAAGAAAAATATAAAAATAATATATGGATATTATTTTAACATGTCTTTTTGGTTAGTTTAAAAAAATGAATCAAGAATAATTAAATTTAAGATTTGATTAGATAAAAAATTAAATGACAGAAATTTAATAATTTAGTAAAAACGAATAGTGTGATTGGAAAAATGAATATTAGTATGATTGTAAAACATAAATTAAATATGAAATTGATTCTTATTGCTCTTTTGGGATTAACACTCACATAAGCAGTCTTTGTTAAGAGATCTAACGATCCAAGCAAAGCAGTTTTCACATAATTGGAAGCAATGGAAGAACACGAATTAGGAAGAAAATTGTTAGACACAATTGCTCTCTAATTGAACAACAAGGCCCCATTAGGAGATATTGCTAAAATGTTATAATAATTGAGAGAAAACCTCATCCTCAACTAATAAGAAGCTGACTAAAAGCATGCTTAAGATGAAGTTGACTGTGAAACAGAAATCTATTAATATAACAGAAGAATTGACTTCGCTTCCAACGAAATCACTGAATCAACCTAAGAAATCTAAACCCTCAGTGCCAAGGTTGAATAATTGACATAAGATGTTGAAAACAAATAAGTTTAATTAGACATCTTAAACGAATAAGAAACTTAAATCAGAGAATAAAGAGCTGAAGATGCTGAAAGTTTCAGAACATTTGAAAATGAAACAGAAAACGTCATCGAAGCTGTTGAAGTCATCATCTAAAAGTTGAGCTCAATCCAACCAGATTAAGAAGTCTTGGCTGCTTTGACCTAATTGAACAAGATTGGTGCATCCAACCCAATCCTTGCTCTTATGTAAGTTGCTTCAACATTCTCAGCTGAATAATTGAACAATGTCCTCGGAAAATTAGGTGAAGTCAGCACTTAATTAGCTGAAGCTCTTGATGATGCTAGAACAGCTGAAATCTAAGCTTAATTAGACTTTGAAGCTTTAGTTGTTGAAATCGCTTCATAAAGAGAATCATTGAGCGCTGCCAGAGAAGATTCTGAAAGATAACTCTAAGATAACTAATAAGCTTTGGACTTATAAAAGAAGAGAAAGGAAGATGCTACCGATGAATTGAATGCTGCTTCATCAGGAAAAGAATAAAAGGAAGCTGAATGCGATTCATGGAGAACTTAATATGCTGAAGATTCTGAACACAGATAATAAGAAATCTCAATCATCAGATAAGTTGAAGAAATCTTAGCTACCAAATTATCCAATGTTAAAGTTTATCTCTAAGAGAGATCATCAGCTTGATTTAAATTTAATTCTTCAATAAATAAATCAAACTTAATTATTTTTTCTTTCTTATTGTTTACTTTAATCATTCAATTCTTTAGTTAATTTATTAGGTTACAAATTACTCTTTTATTTTAAATTTAGTTCTACATGTCTTTTTATTTAATATATATATATATAAATTTTAACAAAATATATTAATTTCATCCATTTCTTGATATAAGTTGTTGTCCTATTGATATTTATTTCTTTGGAGATGCTTCTACTTATTCTGATGATTTAACAAAATCACGTTGTTTTTCCATTTTAGTATCTGAGGCAGATATTGGACTTGATGCTTAAACTGAGGTTTATTGTTATTGCTATTATTATTATTATTCTTAATGAGTATTTACAATTTGATCACATATTGAGATCAATTTGTTTAAATATTCAAGATTACTAGGATTATTCTCCCATTAATATATTTCATCAAATGCTTTTCTATCTTTAAATAATTTTAAGTTATTCTGTAATTATAGTAATTTGAATTTAATATGTGAAGATTTATACAAAGAAACCAATATCTCTTATTTGTAAGGAGTTATTTAATAATTTAAATTGATCATATTATTATAAAAGGACTTTGCAGTTTATTACAATTGCTAATGTAATTGATTTGGAGTTAATTGATTAGTTCTTGCAAATAGAGTAGCTTAAATAATCTTCTCATTTAAGTTCTAACTCATTTCAATTAATAGTTTTGTATCAGTTATCTATTATAGATTAATTTAAGATTGTTTATCCTAAATTAACTTACAAACTTCAACATTCATTAATGAATTTACAGAATACATTTTCTCTAATGTGTAAGTACTACTTTATCTCATAGGAGATGTAATAGCATTCATTACACTTGCTATTAAAGAATTGTAATCATTATAAGTTAATGTTGATTTGTATTATCTTGAATAGTATTCATTTAACCCATAATTATCAAATGCTACTACATTTAATCCTTCAAGAGCACTAAAATTTTAAGCACTTTTAACAATGTCATGTCCATATTCTTGATTTGGAAAGATTGTAAAGGTTTAAATGACATTTTTATAATCTTGAAGAAGTTCCTTAAAGATACTAATATCAGTGCTTAAATGATGAGTTATCTATATTCCTTGACAGTTATCACAAATTTCCATTTCTTTACGTAAACATTCATCTACATCTAATTAATAGTTATTTGGATTAAAAATTAATGATTATGGATTTGCAAGTATTTATTCAACATCTCTAGAACATAAGATTGATCTAGGGACATATTTTTTATCACCAATTTCACTAAAATGTACTTCAATTCCTTCTGCAGGTTTTTCACATGTCCTATTGTTTTCAATTTAATAATCTTATATAAGTTATTCATAAAATTTGCATCCAACTCTCACTCCACAATTGCCTAAACCAATATGTATTATTTCTCTCATATATTTAATAATTAATACTTTATTATTATAAATAATTTATTATTTATATTTAGAAATATAAGAATTATAAATATAGTCATATTTAAGATTAGAATAATTAAGAGTTCAATTTAAAAGTATTTACTATCTTAAAGTGTAATGATTGTAATCATAAATTATAAAATAATCAAATTTATTATTATTATTGTTATTATTATTATTATTATTATTATTAAATTGGAATTACTTAAACTTTCTTTTCCTCCTCTAATTGTTTGTCTGTAATAAGTTTAGATATATATCCAAATATTTTAGTTCTGCCTTCTCTAATCACAAGAATCTATTCAGTTTTTAGATATTCTGCTGCATAAAGAAATCGTAATCTTTTAATTTTTTAAATTATTTACCTAACTGTGTCTACATCTCCAGTACGTAATACTTCATGTTAGAATATTTTCTTCATTTCTACAGCTTATCTAATAACACCACAATGCATAACTGCTTAATATCCATGACTCATTGTTGTTGGATGATGGAGTATATGAATGTTAGCCTTAAATCATTATATATCTATACTTCGAATTCTATAACTGGTTCAGGTTTAACAGCAGGATCAATTAATATCATTCCCTTTCTGAAATCAGCTCTATCTAATTTCTCACCAGCCTTAGATGGTTTAAGTGCAAAACATGCAAATTCTCCTACTTATGCTGATTCTACTGCTACTCTATTTATGTGTATAGATTTGATAGTTACTGGCTTAAATGCTAAATTATAATATATTTAATATATACTTTTTCCTTTATCTGGTCCTAATAAAGTATGTTAATTCAATCCTGCTTTTCCACTTCTTACTATTCCACTAACAACAACACCTACTCCAGGAACATTAAAATTCTCTTGTATATCAAATTAGAATGGATCATTTACTGATTAATAAGCTTTATTTATATCATCTCTATTTGGTACTCTACTTACAAATCTAGTTAATTATGATAATCCATTTCCTGTCACACTAGATACTTAAAATATTGGAACAACATTATTTCCATGCATAAGTGCTGCCCATTTATCAATTTCATCCATTCCAGATTTCTCATCAAATAAAACTGCTGTTCTCTTTATTGCTGGACTACGAATCAAAGCTTTTATATTTTCAATTGTCTCATTATAAACATTTTATGGAGCTATATCAATTTTTGTTAACACTATCGCGAATGGTATTTTCAAAAATAAACTCACTCCTAAATGTTCTCTTGTCATTTTTGATACTCCCATATTAGCTCCAACTATAATTAAAGAATAATCTGGAATCATAGCTACTAAACCAAATATTGTAGTTTTTAAATATTTTTCATGACCACAAAGATCCAAAAATGTAACTATCTTTGAACTCTTTTCAACTACAAGACTCCAATATTTATTTTTATTTTAATTGAATCTTTCAGGAACAACTTATTTTAAATTTTCATCAAATCCCATAATTTCTTAAGCTACAGATGATGTCCTTCCGTTCTCTTTTTCATGCTTATAATTAAAAACGCGCTGCATAATTTAAAATTCGAACCTCTCTTGCTCCTCCTCTTCCATCATCTAAAATTCCTTTTGTTAGTACACCAACCAAAGTTGATTTACCAGAATCAACATTACCAATAATAGCTAACTTACTATGTTCTAATCTCTTATCTTGCATAATATTAATATACGTATTATTATTTAATGTTTGAATTTAGATACCAAATAATTCTTTCTTAAAATTTATATAATATATATATAATATATATATTTATATATATATGTTTAATAGCATAGTCAATTTTTTTGAACTTAAAAATTGATATTTTTATTTTTTAGAAATTTGCAAATATCTTCAAATTATGCTTGATTAGCATCAACCTTAATTAAATATTTATCTTTCTTAATTAAATTTAGTTTTTTTTCATATTAATTTTATTATTGGTTTGTTTTCTGAGGATTCTTTTATTAGTGTTATTATGATAATATATCTATTTGTTGTTTACAGTAAATTTTAGCTAGTGGATCTAAATTCATTATCTCTGATTTACCTGCTCCTTAAAATTGAATAGAAGAATCAGAAAAATAAGGTGATTTCTAATTAATTTTTTAGTTAATGTTATTGAATTATTATGTTTGACCATAAGCTGTAAAGGATTATGAATAAACTTCTTAATTTTAATTTTTTTAGTCATTTTTCATCATAGAATTGGATGGCATTTCTACTATGTGAATTTTCTTTGAATCCTGGTTTTGAGTTTATTTTTAGGGTGATTAATTAGACTATTTAGGATTCAAATTATTAGAGAACTCCTTAATATTTATAATCTCTGCTTATTATTTGTTACTGCTAATATCATTCTATAATTTAGAAATTTCGATTGCTCGGCTTGATTCCACTATTAGTTATTTAGATTATTTACATAACTTTTGACCACTTAAACCCCTATAAAAGATTAAAGTTGACTTATTTAGTTAGCTTAAATATTTTTATATTGGAGTATTCCTGTTGTCAAAGTGATATTCTGTATCTTTGATCTTGAAATAAAATATTTCACTCAGATTAAAATTTCTAAAGAATTTGAAAAGTAAGTCTACTCATAATAATGTGCATCTTGGATTAATTACGCCAATCTAATAGGAGTTGTTTTTTAATCATAAGTGGTAAAGAATTGCTCATTTCGATCATAGATTAGAATTTATAGATTTTACATTATTTTAATATGAATATTTATCAATATAAATTGAGTAAATCGTCAGCAAAGAATACTTCTATTTCTACGACTGACAATATTTTATAATATGAACTATTGGTGGGAATAGTTTACCTATAACTTGTCATATATCTTAACTTAATGTATTACTTTAAGATATTTAAATCATTGTCAAATTTACTAGCATCTTCATGATCCTTAATTACATATTTATAAACCAAATAAAATGTGAAACACCAATCATCTGGTTGAAAATCATTTATATTTTTAGCAACATATGTTAAAGTTGATTCTAAAAATTCTGTTAAATAATAGACTAAATCATTTTAATCTAATTATTTAAGAAAGACTATTAAATCTTCATGAGTAAAATTAACATCATCTAAATTAAGATTAGATTTGGCTAAAACTGATAAAATTTGATCTTTATCATCTAATTTTTCAAATATTTGATATATGCTTAGAAGATCTTACTTTTTTTTCTTAATATTTTTTAAATTAACCAAAGACAATTCATTAATCATTAAAATAACTTCATTAGCAAATTTAAAACATTTTTAATTTTATATCTTCTCAACCAAAATGTTTAAGTTTTTAAGAGAATCATATGATACATTCTCTAATTCCCCTTTTAAGAATAGGTTTAGAATTCTATCAGCAAACTAATCTCTAAATGGTTAATCAATCTCTTCATGATATTTTAACATCATATTGATTAATAATATATAATCTTCAAAATTAGAGATTAGTTTATTGATATCTTAGAATTCATTGAGTTCCATATGAAATTGTTATATTAATTTAAGAAATAATGCACGATTGGCTTAATCTAATTCTTGTATAGAGAGGTGATCCATACAAAAGAAAAAGATGAATTAATATGTTTCCAAAGATACAGGTGGTTATTTTAAAGCATACATAAAATATTGCATTATAACAAGCATTTAATTTTTAGTGGCAAATACCTTAAACTTTCTTAAATGTTAATAAGCTCTATTCAATTCTTTCTCACAAAGATCAAGATTTCTTTTATTTTCTACAAAACCTATAAAATCACAAAAAGCTTCTTGTGAAATGTCTTTTACAATATTTAAATGCCATATTTCATTTAAGAATCCAGAAAAATCATATACGGCATGGGTAAACTCAGTGTATTGATACCAATTTAGCACACCTTATTTGTGGTAATTGTCCATGGCTGCAATCCAAGATTATTAGTCATAATACTTTATCTGATGGAGGATATTAATGAACTACGAAATGTTGTATTCTATAAATTAAAGAGCGAGATTTACCATCGGTATCTGAATAGTTTAAACTCTTAAGCTCCTTTGTTAATGAGCTAATTATTGATGGTACACCATAAAAGGAAAGATATTTGAATTCACTATTCTAATTAACCATGTTCTAAAGAATGTCCATTTTATCATCAAATGTCATTGAAGACCCATAACAGTGAAATTTAAAATATAGATCTTCTAATGTACCAGGATAGATTTTTTGTGGTTTTGGATGTTTGAGATATTGTTTTTATATGTATTTCTTTTGTTAAAGAATCTCATTTGGAGTTTATTGTTTAATGAGTGATGTACATTTGTATAAATTGAATGTGTTCTTTTTGAACATTATTATAAAAAACTAAAAAATGCCTAAATACATTGATGTTTTAACAATTGAATAGGCTTTAATAAAAGCTGGAAATGGACACTAATTTTAAAGAAGAGCCCTTATTATCATGGGTTTGTAATATATGATTGCAGGAATGCTTCATATAGCAATGACAGAGCTATTCTTTCATCAATAATAATACAAATGTCTTTCAGAAGATCTGAATTATTAGAATTGTACAGAAGGAGCGTTTTGTGAATAATATAAAACTAAGGAAAATAAAGTGTCATTAGTTGATCACTCTGATTTAGGTAGTTTGATCAAATACTTCTTAATGGTGTGTGGTAATAAAATTCAAATATTCATATTGGTCACATCCTATTATATTGGAGGCAGTATGGGTTCCTTGTATTATGGTGAATAAATGGAAATCAGATAAGGCAGATAGTACATTTAATATATATACTATTAGCACCGTAATGATTGAAACATTATTAATGATGGGCTTTGTTTGTTGTATAAGTATGCTCTCCCCTTCAGCATATATTTTGAGTGTGGCATTATTTGCAATCAATTTCTTTTAAAGAGGGTTTTTTAACTCATCTATGATCTTATTTTTTGAAATTTCAAGTGAGAATCTATAGAAATTTGGGCCTGCTTTATTATTAACATGTTATGGAATTGGTGAAGTGATATCTCCAAGACTTATAGAAATGTTTAATTTAAATTGGTAATATTCAATGCTACTATTATTTGGATTACCAGCAGTGTTATTTTCAGTGTTAATCAAATTTATGTAGGAATCACCAAGAATTTTAGTAATCAGACGTAAATTTGAAGAAGCAAGATTAACAATTAATTATATTGCCAGTGTAAATGATAGATAAATGCCTGAAAATTGGTTATTAGAAGATGAAGTCAGAATTTAAGAATTGAAATAGAAAATGAAAGATATCTTACTTTAAGAGGATATTCATGAATAACCAAAAGGATATAACTTTTCTTCTATTTTCAGATATAAATCAATTAGAATTAGAATGTTCTGTCTTCTTTATTTGTATAGCATAGTAGTTTTAGGTTAATTTTAAACTGCCAAAGAGATAGAAAGATTTTCAAGATTAGAAAGACATCACACATATCTACTATTATCATTAGTATCTACTGCTGGATATTTAATTAGTGGATATGCTTCATTAAATTATTTAAGAAAGGAAGTAATTAAAGCCATCCTTATTTTGGGTGCTATATTTCATTTTTTGATTGCTGCACTGCCTTTATTAATTTTAAATAAAACAGCAAGTGATTTAATAACATTCTATGATAAATTAGTGTATACTTTTATAATGATGGTTTTAGTTATGTGTAGATTGACCTTAAGTTTTGCATATGGATTTATTAATGTATTTATATTTTTTTATTATTTCTAGATCTACGCTTTAGAAATATTCCCTACTTCATTAAGACATTATGGATTTTGCGGGCTTACTTTTTTGACTGAATTCCTATTTATATTTTAAGACTCCTATGTTATCTTTTGTCATGCTTTCGGATTGAATTCATCAATTGGAATGTTTGCCTTATTACTTTTAGGATTATTAACATTATAGAAATTGAGGGAAACTCAAGATTTACCACTTAAAGAAAATGTAGATGAAATGTAAGATGAGTTAATTAATAACATATATTCTGCTTGATATGTATATAAGTTCTATATATTATGTAAATTGTTGTTCAGATTTTCTTTATCTTTTCATATGTATATTCAATTAGTATTTTAGACATAATATTTTTTTATTTCATTTTTTCTATAATATAAATTATTATATATAGTTTTGAATTTTAAATTATTTCATACATATATTTTCAAACATTTTAAAAGGATTATTAAAAATGATTTGAATCAAATATGACTTATATGAGAATGATAATAAATTTCTTTTATTAATGACTTTTTCTAGATGATATAACAATATTAATTAGTGAAAAATAATATTTCACTTCTTTTATTTCTTAATCAATTTTATATCTTCTGTCAATTTCTAATTATCTTTGAATATTAAAGATGTCATATTTTTAATCAATGTGCCAAACTCAAAAAGCTCTTCTTTAGAATTGTAACTCTTATATGCTAAGGATAGGATCTACAATAATTCATTGTATTTATTCTAGAATCTAAACATATTTGATATTATATATATATACCTATCTTGCTAAAGAATAAACTATGTATGTCCCTCCAATTATTAAATTGTATTTTTTAAATTGGCCTTTTCAGTATCAATCAAGCCTTAGAACTTCTAAATTTGAACCTAATTCTCTGATTTCTTTAAATTCTCTTAGTTACGTAAAAGTGCCTCATGATGAGCAGATATTTTATTTAGAGACTAATACATTACATATTAAGTTTACTTTTTTTAATAAATCTAAAACTTCCTTGTATTGCATTAGCAACTTGTATTCTGGACCGAAATCCTACTCCTGGGGATTCAAATAATTTTGTAAATCCTTACATTTTATGATGCATTCTATTATACCTGTTCAGGGTACATTGTTGGCATTGATTCAGGTATTCTTTATCCTCCTACTGGAACTACTGTTGGATTGCCTTGATGAAAATTGGCTGAATTTCTATCGAATTACTCAATAAATGCTTCTTCTGATTCAATCATGTCTTTTTGAAAATTGCTTTAATCCATTTATAAAAGAAAATATTTATCACAATTTATTCTTAAAATTAAAATTTGAACTCAAAAATTTGAAGAATTAAGAAGATAAATAATGTTTAAAATGAATTCTGAGAATCCTAAATTTAAAAAAAGGAATATGTATCTATAAGATAAATAGAAATATTTACTAAAAATGTAAAAATTATGAAAGATATAAATAAGTTTATCTAAATTAGAATGATAATTATTGTAAGAAAAAAATTAAATATAAAAGAGATATCATATTAAACATGATTTTATATAGATAATTTTATTAAATATGTGTAATAACAAAATTAAGTATTTATTTTTTTGTATAAATATATAATTTTTATATATATTGTGATTATTATAGTAAAAGATTTTTAAACTAGAAATAAAAAATATATTATTTTGAATCTCAATGTTAATGATGAAAACTTTTGGTTTATCTATAATTAAAATCTTTGTCTTAGTTATTTTCAATTTTACGAATTTCTACTTATCCCAATAATTATAAGAAACTCAAGACATCTTCTTTTACAGGTCCATTAGTTCTAATTTTAATTTCATATTAATCTTCCATTCTATTAGATTCTTACAATAATTATAATCCTTGTTAATTGATATAATTTTGCCTTGATTACTATAAATTTTAATAATTCATTGATGTAGCTAAATCAAATGGATTTTCACCAAGATTAATTT